ATTCATATCTCAAGCCACAACCTTTCTAATTAGTTTCCACTTACGTACTCCTGCTCTTGCAAGGTTCACAACAACCCCAGTACCCACGTTCCAACTTTCTTCTTTCCCGGATTCTTTATTGGTCCCTTCTTTACTTCCAGCCAGCAACCCGAAAGGGTTAGTCTACCCAGGCTCTAGGTGCCTTACAGTCTTGCTTTTCTTGGTACATGCTTCTAGAGCACAAGTCCTTTTTCTCCAGTGGCGAGCCAGCGGTTCAGCTGGTGTATCTCCCCACTTAAGGACCTAGTCCTTGGTTCTCCGGTCTTAGTTTCTAGTTCCAAATTCAGTCTTCTTGTAGCATCGTCAAAGATCACTGCTACTTTCAACTCGGAACTTGCCAAATAGGTTTTTGGTAATTCTGGTGTTCTAGATTTATTGCACCAAAGCTCTCATTCGAGATAGTGTGACCAAGATTACAGATGTTTAGATCCAACTGATAATCTTAACGTTAACCGACACAGATCTAGTTTTTTCAAAATCATCGTCCATGGGATTCAAACTCTAGACCTGCCATTTGGGGGTGTGACAACTCCACCACTTCACTAAGTCGCCACACCTTTGTAAATATTTGTATGATATTTACTATATGAAATAAATATATAAATATCTGCTATCCGATACTAATATTAGCTTCATTAATATTTGTATGATATTTGCAGATTTCTATTATATACAAATTTCAGCTTAGATATTTAAAGCTAATATTAATATTTATTTCTCTGATATTTATAAGATATCAGTAAAGTTTCAGCTTATTAAATTTGGATATTATTAAAAGCAATATGAATTTTTTATTTTATTATATATTTTCAACTTACAACTAAAAACTATATACTCTACAATATATACGGTTTTCAAATTTAACTAAACTAATATCACTCAACATAATCCCCATCCTCTTCATTTTCACTGCTACAAATACCAAATTTATCACTAGACACATTATGATTCCGTTGATGCTTGGAAGAAGATTTAGTTTGAGTTAATTTTCGTATAGTATTTCTGGATAAAATATCATACTCACGACGACTTGATTTGGAAGTTCTTTCATTTCTAAATTCTTTTGATACAGATCTTTTTTTTGATTGCCTGGTGGACCCAGAATTACTTTAATTTGAATTGTTGAACATAGAAAAATTTTAATAAGATATAACAATTAACCTTTTAAATATCAGGTGTATACATTTTCTAAATAATACATATCTTCATTCATTTTCAAGGCTAGAATCATTGGTTCCAGCTTTTTTGTTGAACCCAGAATCATTGTTGGACCCAGCATTGTTGAACCCAGAATTGGTGTTATCAGATCCAGAATTGTTGTTATTGGACCCGGAATCATCATTATTGGACTCAGAATTATCATTGTTAGACCCAGAATTGTTTCCAGAATTGTCATTGTTGGATCCAGAATTGTCGTTAGACCCAGAATTGTTGTCATTGTTGGACCCAGAATATTTGTTGGACCCAGAATTGTTGTTAGACTCAGAATTGTTGTTGAACTCAGAATTGTTACCATTAGTGGACCCAGAATTGTCATTATTGTTGAACCCAGATTTGTTAATGAACCCAGAATTGTTATTAGACCCAGAATCATCACTTGATTCAGAATCAGTAGCAAACTTATTATTACTGGGCCTTGATTTTTTATTATTATTGTTATGTTTGTTGTATTTATTAGGATCGTAAGATGAGAAAATAGTCCAAAAAGAGGCATCGAGCGGAGATTTTGATAGATCCATCTATTCATTATTATAATGTCGATACCTTATGGGTTTATTTGATTGATTTGTTAATACTATTTCTTCAGCCTAATATAAAATTTTCTTACACTGTTTTAAAAAAATTAGTCCAATACGAGTATAGTAACTATTAAAATAAAAAAAATTAATCAACTTACCCTTTTAGATCTCCATGTTGGATTCTGCACCTTAACAACATGATCATTATTATAAATCTCATTATCTTTACCACCTTTGTTATATCGTTTATTAATAGTTCTTTCATACTCTGCAAGTTCTTCATCCATCTCAGAGATTTTGTCAGAGTGGTATGCTGTTCCAACTACTACTTCAGCAAGTTCATCTTTCTACTCATTTTTACGAACTAAACTTGGCCAGTATTTCTCATAATAGAGTCTTTTATATGAATCAAATGTTGAAGCCCATCCATCCTCTGCTTTTTTTTCTAAAAAAAAAATATATTTATATATATAATATAAAAAATAAAAAATAAATAAAAAATAAATAATATTGGACGAATATATTTATATATCGGATGAATATATCTTATACTATAATAATCAATAAAATAAAAAATAAAAAAATACATATATCCTGCATGTGCGAATTCTTATTGGCACGACTTTTATTCGCTTTTTATTTGTTAGCATTCGCCTTAATTTTTACTGTTGATGTACGGCTTTTATAGTTAGTCTTAAGCACTGAACTACTTCTTCATCAAGATATTTAAGGCTTTTATTAATACGTTTCTTAAGAGCAAGAAGGATAGTAAGTTCAACAAAGTCTCTCTGGTGGAGCCAGCTTTTGTTCTCATTTACTAACAGGCGGAGATTTTTGTGTGCCAATTGCTTGGCTGCCCGAAGTACTTCTTTCTGTATCAATAAAATAAAAATATATATTAAAATATATATATAGTATATTCTATAATCCAATATTAATATGGCAGCTAGTGTGGAACCTCGGGCAGACTACTTAAATAGGCAACTAAAAGTTGCAGGTATGGCTAGTCGTACTCTCACTTGTAAATAGTCAGAGAGCTTAAATAGGTAATCTCCTAGTTAGATTGCAGGCATGGCGGCTAGTGTAGAACTCAGGCGGACTACTTAAAATAGACAACCAAAAGTTGTACGTGTGGCTAGTTGTACTCTCATCATAATTGTAAACGTTGTTAATTATCTAATAAAAAGCCCCCGGCCATAGAGGTCACCTTAATACTGAAAAAAAAAATAATAATCTAATATTAATATTATAAAAAAAAAAACCCTAAATGCTTTTTTATATTCAGCGTCTATCAGCACTAATTGTTCATGTTTAAACCTTGTTTGAGTTGGGTCATATGACTTGCCAGGTGAGAATGAATTTTCTCTTCCCTTATCTTTATGACTTTTATCATTATATTCATTGATATTAATATCATCATCGGCAATGTTTACGTAGGTCAGGAGGTCTGCTACTGCAGATGACTGCAAAACATTAGATTGAGTCCTCTCAAGATGTTCTAGTCTTTCTTCAAGCAAAGTGACTTGGGATCTCAAAGCTGAATTTTCTAAATATTAGCAATAATCATTAGCTGATATTTGTATTATAAAAATCAAAAAAATTATTGCTTACCTTCTTTCAATGCCCTATTTTCTAAAATTGTTATATAATAAGATTTGAATTAATATTGTGTAGCCGATATTCATATCACTCTTATTAATATAATAAAAAACGTATCATACCTTCAACATCCCTTGACCTATCACGTTCATGTGACTTTTCATAAGAAGGTGAGCTAGAATGGTAATCACGAAACTGACAAATATGAGAACGAGACTGATGAGTATGAGAATGAGACTAAGAGTATGAGAACAAGACTGACGTATATAAGAACAAGACCGATGTGTATGAGAACGAGACCAACATGTATGATGATGAGAGCGGTTTGTGCAGGAATGAGGAGAAGGAGAGTGAGAATTCGATAAATAGGAGTTTGAATGGAAGCATGAACAATGATTTTTTCTTGAATTCATCATTTGGCATGATCTTAAAGAAGGTTCAAACTGGAAAAGAGTTGATTTTCGTGCCATGATATGGTTATCAGATAAAAAAAGACTAAAATTTCCAAAATTTCAAACCTAAAAAAAAAAAATGAATGCGAATAAATTTCAAACAATCTAAAGTATTATTATTTTTTAAAAATATTACCTATATTAAAAATATCAGTAAGAGAAAGAAGGTAGAAAATCTGATACTTCTATATTCTTTAAATAATCTTCAAAAAAAAAGCCACGAATATTGAATAAATATTTACCTATATTTAGAAATGCTGGTAAGAAAGTAAAATTAATAAATCCGATATCTCTATATTCTTTCGAATAGGAATCTCAAAGAAAATGTAATTATCAAAAGAAGTGCACACCTGTATTGGAAAGCTAATAGAAATATTAAAAAAAAATTAAATAATTTGAATATAAAAAGAACTGTTCGAATAGCGAAAAAAATATCTACCTCTATTAGGAATGGGAGAGAGAAGAAAAGAGAGAAAGTTATCAGGGAAAAATGAAAAAATGGCTATGTGAAAGAATATTTACTTGTTAATTAAAGAAAGAAAGTTAATAAAAGAAATGAAAAAGAGTTACGCAAAAGAATATTTACTTGTTAAAATATTGCTAGTGAATAGAAAGAAGAAAAGTTAACAGGGAAAAATGAAAAAGTGTTAAAGTAATATCGGTGAGAAAAATATGAGAAAGAAAGAAATACGTAATCAGGTACTTTTTATATTTAACGAACGATACAATTACATATAAACTGATAATTTTTATGATCATTACATTCTTGTATACATAAATTAAAAAAAATAGAGCTATGTGATAATTTTCATGATCATTACATTCTTGTACACATGAATTAAAAAAAAAAAGAGCTATGTGATAATTTTCATAATCATTACATTCTTGTACACATGAATTAAAAAAAAAATAGAGCTATGTAATAATTTTCATGATCATTATATTCTTGTATACACGTAATTAAAGAAATAGAACTATAGTCATCATTCAATTCATTATTGTAAAAAATATTATTACATAACGTCTAATTCAATTACATTATTGAGTGCATCTAATGAAAATTGGCTTCGGGCTTTCAATTTTTTATCTTACCGGACAATTCCTGAGTTTGGTAAGTTCTAAATTGAAACCCGAAGTCTAATTTTCTTTAGAAGTACTCATATTTTTACATTATTGATTAAATAATATTTACTACTAAAGCAATATTCGTATCGGCTGCAATTGCTTGTCAAATTAGCGTATTTTATTCTCTTTACCTTCCAGTAGGTTCGTTAGAATAAATAAATATGCATGTGATTGATCGTCATAAATTAAATAACAATATATAAGTATATAGTTAAGATATATAATCGAACTTGAGAACTATAGTGATAGGTGATAATATATATATGTAATATAAAATATATAGTGTATAACATTTTTATTTATAAATAAATGATTAAAATTATGCAAAATATAAGTGATAATAAATCTGATACACTTCAATTAGACCGATTTTTATATTAAAAGTTAAGAGCATTATTTGTTTTGCGGATACGTGTATTGATAATATTTCTGATATACTTCAATTAAACTGATTTTATATTAAAGGTTAATTATATAATATGTTTTGCTGATACGCATATAGAACATATTAAAAGCTTAGGAAAACAATCTAAAATTTGATTCATCACTTTTGCTTTGATATTATATAGTAGAAAATATAACAAACTTTTAATTAATTTTGTTATCCTCGTCATAATTTTTATTCAATACATGTATTGGATAGTATCGGAAAACATTGATTTATAAAAACAAAAATAAATTTTTGAATTTGTCATTCTTGTTATCAGTTTGTTTTGATATGCATATTGAATAGTATTAGAAACTAAAAATTTGTTAACAATAAAACAAAACAAAACAAACTAAAATAAACTTTTAATTAAATTT